GTTTATATAAAAATATTACGCTTAGAAATCTATGCCCTTATGTGCTGGTTTAAAGATAAACCAGCAGGGGAAATGAACTCAACTCAAAAGAGAGATTATAAGTCAGAATAACAATTTAATAAAATAATACAGTAAGTATGATTATACAGACAAACAATTGGTTTTAACCCACAAAACCCAAATGTATAACCCAGTACCCTGGGGCATGAACAGAGTGGTGTTCTTTGGGCCCCCTGAGTCCAAAGGAAAAGTAGAGGGGAAAAACCTGTTGGTGAGAGTGCTGTTGCAGTCTGGTCAAGAGTGGTGATTGCAGTCTGGTCGAGAGTGGTGGTCTCAGTCTGGTTGAGAGTGGTTTGCAGTTTGGTTGAAACTGCAAAACTGCAGAGTGGTCTGCAGTTTGGTTGAAAGCGGTGATCTGCAGTCTTCCTCTGGATCCCATGAGTGGTTAAAGACTCCAAGATTATATATTCTCCAGTTCAGGCAGGAATGCCCAGCACTTCCCTCAGGGCGGGGAGCTCCACAAAGGGTGTGAGGACAAAAGCAACATCCTATCTCACAGGCCTCTCAACACCTAGTTTATAGCCTGAGGAGTCAGGCTCTATGGGCAGAGGGTGTAAATGGTTCATTGACAACAGTTTCTGGGAAATGGCATGGAAGGCTATAGAATACACAGTTTGGGGTTACACCCATCCAGTGATGAACTGGTCCCAGCTGTTCTAACTAGGACACCTTAGAAGAACTTCTTCAGTACTGGCAGAGGTTGTTTATTTCCTTCTAGGTATATACAGCCATGGATTCCCCCTGGAGACCTGGTACTAACTGAAGATAGCTCCTTTCTTGAACAAAACCCAGCAGCAAAGAGAAGATACTGATAGTTAGAGATTTAACCTAAGAAAATGAACTTTTGTCTCTCAGTGTAACATACAGAATTCAGTCTTAACTCCAAGGGCAATAGGCAGTCACTACGGATACTGCCCAAGCCGTAAACCCAGCTTTCTGAAACTCTTCAGACTGAACTGCAGATGTGCATGAAGGAGTCCATGATATCCAGCTGGAGTCATTATAGAGTAACTCTGCTTGCACTCACAAATTTCAGAAAAAAAAATTAAAAAATTATGCATGTAAGCAAAATCTGTGTTAGAGCCTGAGTACATCCCACATAATATCGTGTTACTCCACAGCAATTCAGCAGTTCTGAATGTACTTATGCAGCATCAGAAGTCTCACGAAGTCCTCCTATTACCTAAAATTACATTTTCTGTAATCTATCATGAAAGGAGAGACTTCCTCCAAATTATCTTCACTTTTGATAAAACACTTTGCAGCTTTCAGAAAGGTGCAGAATAATAGAAAGTTCACAGTCAGTTCAAAATCAGAGACCATTAATAAATACCTTTCCTGAGACTGATTTCCCAGAACAGCTAAGAGAGTGACTACTCCTCCTGGATTTTCATACACAAGGAAACTTTCATGGAGAAAAGGATTGTCAAATAATTGAAGAAGGAATGGATATGGGCAGATTAAATTTTAACTATGCATGTACAAGTTTGAAGCGATATCAATATGGGTCCTGGACATGGCTCATCCTAACGTAGGGATCCAGAAGCCAAGTTGACTTTTTTCTGAAGAGTGCAGTTTAATTTTTTTTTCCAGCTAAGTGTCACTGACTAATTAAAATATATTGGCACAATTCTTGCAGGTTATTGTTCCATGGGGCTGTACTTCTTAGATGGGAATTTGTAAGCAGGTCATGACTAAAAGTAATACAAATGCATTCAGCTATTCAAATATTCAAAATATATCATGCTATATTTATTGGAAACAAAGTCTGACAAGATTATGTGTATACTAGGAACTGATAATGAAACATTGCATTGCATTGGCAATGGCAATGTCAGCAACAGAGAAATTACAAACCTTAAATATTTATATAGTAAAATGAAATGCAGCCATTAATGCTTCCAAGAAGCATGCACTGCAGTGCTATAGATAGACATGAAGAATAGAGTTTTGGAATATCTCTAACAGGACAATTTATCATTTTTGTGGAATAGCTCCACATCTGTGGAAACCCAGTCTTAAAGAAATGAGAAAAAGAGTTGCAAAGGTCTGAACACGAAAAATGGATGTTCCTAAGGCTTAAACACACAATGGAAAATTAATATCATAAGTAACCCATTTTTCTGGATTGCTGATTTATTTATATTGATTTAAAAACAGTAAGTACACATATTTCTTTAAAATGCTTTGGAAGCCAGTGGTACTTATGGTCTGTCAGAAGATCATATACTTATTTTCTTTTTGTTACTTTAATTCTTTGAAAAACTACCACCTCAGTGGTTATTATTTTTTATTTGAGAAGACTAGGAATAAACAGAACAGCCTGTAAACATAGAATCAATGGTGCTTAATCTCAGTCTTTTTTTATTGTTGTTGCTGGAAGAAATCCTGAAGTCCTGTGTAGAGCATGAAGAGGAACCCTGCGAGGATACAGGATCTGGGCCCATAATACCATTTCCTTCATCAGCCTCACGGAGCAAAGCTTTCTGGTGCAGTCCCAACTTCATCAACTACTATAAACACAAGGATTACAGGAGGGCTGGGATTTCTGTTTATTTATTCCCAAAATGGGATTAAGATTAAACTATGGTGATTTCTGACCAGTGACAAGAAAAACCTGCCGTATTGCAACACAAAAGTTAGTAATTTCAAGTCTTGGAAAGCTATGCATATTGATTTGGATTGTTTTCAGTCATCTTGTTTGAGCTGCTGGTGTAAAATTATAGCATTTTTTAGAGACAAGAAGGACTAAGGATATGGTGTGGAGCACTGTGCTACTGTTTCTGCTCTCTGCATTTATTTTTTGGTTGTTGTCGTTTAGTGTAAACTCACGAACCAGCTGAAAGGTGAACTAGGAAAGGGTCTCCTCCCTTCTAAGTGAGGCTGTCAGTGATGGCCACAGTGTACATCAGACCAATTACCAACTGCGGCTGCCTTCCTCTTCTCTTGTCCTGCACGGGCTGGTACCAGGAGAGCATCCAGATGAGACCTAACCCAGCAAAATGAAGCAGTGCTCAGTCTGAGGCCAGAATAGATCCCCAAACATCCTACCACACAACCAGGTGAACTGCAGCACCAACTCAGACAAGGATGGAATTGAGTACCGCTGTGATACTCTCAGGTTACATCATCTTAAATTGCTGGGGAAGCACAAGCTTGGTGGTCATACAGCTATGACAGAGCCTTTAGTGATTGTTGCCTCCTTAGCTCAGCTTCAGCAGAAGCATCCATGTGGTAGCCAGGATGAATATCCGAGTCTAATTATTTGGTATGAACAATGTACGCAAAATGCTATTTTTTTCCCATTAGTGTATCTCTTTGACTCTGAAAAATCAATGACAAAGGAAGAGGATGTATTGCGCAAATTTTTTTGTGTCACTTATTTTCCTTGTCATGCGTTTGACAAAATGTATCTTTCGTATTGCATTTCATCAGGACAGACATCAGACCCTTTCTAAAGGCCATGGAAGAATGAATCCAGCATGCTGCAAACAGGCAACACACCCACACTTGTGTTACATGGTCCTGAGGCTGTCCACTCGCTGGGAACCCATGATGGCAGAAGGGGAGGACATGGTTTCATCTGTTGATTCTGAGACAAGCATGTTCTATGCTTAAAACCACAGTCGTGGTTTCTGCACTCTGACCTACTAGAAAATGGATTGATACCCTGCTGTATGTCTCACACGACACCAAATAGCTGCAGGGACCTATGTGTATGCAGTGATTCTCAGGTCTTCAAAGTTTAGCCAAGCCTACCACGTTATTTAAAAGCAAAGGGACTCGTATTGAGCTTCACAACCTCTGAGTAGAATTTAGCCTGTCATTAAATCCCTGTCCTTTTTTCAACTATAAGCTTCCAGACTTGAAAAAACCCCAGATTTTTTTCCTTATGCAGGTACAGAAATGCTATTGCTAAGCTTAGTGCCTGTGCCATCACATACAAAGAAACATGAGCTCAGGTTAGTACAACTTTAGAGTGCCTAAATTGCATATTTTGCTTCTTAATTTACAAATAATCTGGCATCTTTGTGGATGATGGCCATTTACAACTCCGAGTGTGGATGCTCCATACGAGATGAAATATTTGTTCTGCATTTCTTCCTCAAAGTTGCTTAAAAAAAACGAAATAGTATTAGAAATACACTTCTAGAAATTTTGGCTGATTCCAAATTTTAGGCTTAACCATCCCTTAGCTTTCACATTTGAACCCAACTATCAGATATTTTTTAGCCTGAATGTGTCTTTACTGTTTGCTCTTCTACAATCCAAGCAATCCACTTGATTAAAATAAGCAGAGAAATCCAGGGAATTCAGATGAGTTTACATTCAGAAAACACCACAGGACTCAAACCAAAAAGTTGCAGTAATGATTTCCTTTGCACAAAAGGTCATAAGTCTTGTCCTCTAACTTTAGTAAATAGGAAGGCCCAAGCAATAAAGAAAAATATACTTGCATAATGCATATTCTTCATGTGTAAAAGACTATCTGTGGGAAATACTGTGGTAGAACTAGTCATGAATACTTTAATGCCTTTTGGGAATTTGCGGTCAAATGTCTGTTCCATTTTAGGAAAAATCCTTCTTGGTTGAATGTGCCTCAGTAGGTTTGCCTGATCCTGGACTGGGACTTCCTTTTTGCCTTTAAAGTGAAATATCAAATTACAATTTGCAAGTAAATTAGCAGTCTATAGTGATATCAATATATCATCTGATACATACAAGCATTTGTAGAGCTCAAGGAAACAGCTCTCTGCATTCTCAAATGTCTCAGTATTTCAAATACTAACAAGAGTGTCAGCAACAGCATTTTAACCCTACTTCCCAATGGGCAGTGGCAGGAGGAAATGGAAGGATATTTCACATCCCGTATTTCACATCACAGCAAAATCCAATACAAGCAATGGAGTATTCATGCATATTTCAAGACTCGCCATAACTCTGTAGAGGGTTTAGTTTATTAAGTAATTGCAAGAAAAATTACAATATTTCATATCAGATATTGTTTTTCTCCAGAATTTTTCTATGTTTTATTGTTGTTGTTGCTGTTGTGAGTTTTTGTTTGGTTTATTTTGAGTAGGGACACACACACAAACACACCTTTGTTCAAAACGGGACAGAACATTTTCAAAGGAAAAAAAAATTAGGATAACTATAATCTTAAACTCTAGATAATATTTAATCTAATAGCTATTTCAAAATAGCACTGTGTATATGCATGTACAAAAGCAAATGATATATGCTTATACTTTGATGATTAAAATTAATAGATTAATAACATGTTCATCAATCAGAGAAACAACATAGTAATCAACAACATAGTAATCAATATAAAGGAATAAGGATAGTTTTATAGGTCATTTTATTATACAGTGTCATAACTTTGACAGGCATAATGAATGTTAGTTAATTTTACCACCCAATGCCATGGATGAACACTCAAAAAAGAAAAAAGGCAAAGAATTGAAAATTTGAGATGAATTCTCATTACCCTCATGATAGTTTATAAATATATAAGATACACTATCTTATGACACACTTCTGACATTTCTCTTACTGTTACAGAGCTGAGCTCTCACTCACTCTCTTTAGTTTTATAAGGATTAAGAGTATCCCCACTACCTGATGTTGGTAGCTTTATTGTGGTGTTACAATATTTGCAGCATCTGATATCTGTAATTTAATGTTGTACAGAGGGCAATAATTCCCTGTTCTGCTGAGCTTGTTTGGCAAAACATGATGCTTTAACCCAATTTTGATGCAATTAGAGGAGAGGAAGAAAACACAGATACAGCAATGCATGTCTAAGGAGCTGAACAGACCTGCATGGCAATGACACTGAACCACTTCCTTGCCATAATGTGTACTTGTGTTTTCATCTGGGAGTGATTTCATTCCATACAAACATTTTCTAAACCCTTTCTTACTAGGATGGTTGGCTAAGTTTGCTTCCAGGATATGATTGTAACAACACTCCACAAACACAAAAATCCCCCAGTCTAGATCTTAAGTGACTGTGGAACGTTTTAAAATGCCTTAGACATTTTGAGCTAAATTTGTAATGGCATTTATGGAGCTCTGTGATGGCTCCTAGTCAAACTATTTGACTGTGATCTTCTTGGGTTCACATTTCAGCTCCTATTGCTTCTCCTTCCAACACATACCTTTGCTTTCCCTAAGTAGCACCTGACAGGGGTGGTTTTCCCAGTCCTCATTCCCACCAAAATTTAACAAAGCTGACAGTGAGCAGTAAACATTACATAACATCAGATTTCAAGTCCATTATGAGCACAAGCTTTCTAACTGAGCCTAAGAGGTTTTCAGGGACATTGCCTGTGCATCTCTTGGAGATTTCCCATTCTGTCCCCGTTGGGCAGAGGCAGAGTCATTTGTGCCACAGTGAAACAAACCACACTCATGTACACTAGTTTTCTGTGGGTTTGGGTTTGTTTGGTTGGTTTGGGTTTTTTGTTGTTTTGGGTTTTGTTTGTTTCATTTGGGTTTTTGTTTGGTTTTGGTTGGCGTTTTTTTTTTTTCCCATTTGACACCCATAAGGAAAATATTCCCTTTATCTCCTTCTTTTTGGGACCTGGAGGAAGACAAGCATTCTTTTTTGTACAACACCTATCAGCAGTAGCAAGCCATGTGTCACAAGGAACCATGTTGGAATAGCGTGGTATTTTTTAAGTGTAGTATTAGATAGTATTAGAGGTACATGTTGCCTCAATTTTTTTTAATAATGTGAGGTTTCAAAGTAAACTGATGAATTCTATGTGGCTTGCTATAAATCCATGCCTCATCCTCCCTTGAGTATTATCTCTTAACTTTCTTCTGTGCTGCCTAGCATAAAAGCATCTTTGGTGTTGAACAAATGTAAGCAAATTTTTCTCTTAGTTGTTTTGTAAAGAACGGGGTAGAGATAGATAAAATATTAGCAGCCCAGATCATGCTATGAATGATACATTTCAAACATCTTACCAGATCAATCACCTCTCTTGTATACTTTGGACACACAAGACAACACAAAGAGTCTCTCAACTTAACTTCTTGGCATATTTCCATTTGTTTTCTTAAAATCTGTACCTGAAACTCATTAAAATTCAATAAGGGTCACTTCTTTCTGCTAGATAATGTTATTCCTCTTCTTTCTGACACTAGTAGTCTGTGAAGAAAGCTTTTAAAGATTCATCTAAAACCAAATATTAATCGAATCTTTCAGCATTAGAACCTTTATTTTGCTTCTGTTAAAGGGACTTAGGTAACTTTTGTTCTTTCTCCTTGAAACCTCAGCATAACATTCACTAGTACTTCCTTATGATTCATATAATTCAGAAATTGGTTATGATATGTTGTACTGTGTCAGTTAAAATAACCTCTCCCTACTGAAGAAGCAGGAGTCCCAGTGCAGAAAGAAATCTGCAGTTTTGCAGGTAAGATCTTTTATGAGATAATACTTTAATTTATAGAGTTTACATGTTCATTACAGTTGTTGGTTAATGAATCGTCTGGAAACTGGACTACATTTGCTTGAATCAATACCATTGTTGCAAATATCCACCTACTAATTCAGCCAGTAATTTTTAGTGGATGCAATGTTCATGACTGATTGCTTTGCATGCCAAGGCCAGTTATCTGTGTTAAATGCAGTGGTTTCCTTCTTATGAGCAAAAGATCGAAATGTTTTAAACAGAGCAGTAAAGAATAATGAACTTTAGGCATCAGATTTGGATCAATACCTCCAGTTTGGTAAAGCAGACAACTGAGACATACTAGCTCCTGACAGCAGTACAGATGCTTATGATTAATCAATATTTTAAACTTCGTTAGTCACAGAGAGCTGGGGTTCTATTCATAAGGATATGTGCACATTAATTCTTTCATAATTTACCATATATGATAGGTTTAAACCATAAAGTCATGGTAAAGGAACAAACTACTTTTTCACAGTATGTCTGTCTTGTTCAATGGATTAAAATAGACTGTGTTCACTTATTGACAGTTATTCAGCATTTTGCTTTCCCTTTATTGCTCAGCGTATATTTCAAACCATACTTATTGCACACAATACAGTCTCATTTCCAAGACAGACTTACTCAAGTCCTCACAGCACTTCTATGGCTTTGATACCTAGTTTTGCAGCCCTATAGATGTGTCCATAGGCCTTTAACTCTTTAGGGGAGATTTTCATCTATGTGGACCCAAAATAAAAAGACATTCAAATCATCCTGTAGAATTGACTTCTCCTTGTAATTATTCCCCAATCTGTTAATGTTTGTGCCATCTGAAAGCAGTACCAGCAATGACTCATATTTTCTTCCGTGTCATAGATGAGAATATTAAACTGCAGCAAGCTAAAAGTAGATCTTTGGGTGATTTGACTGTTGACAGTCCTTTTGGGTGGTGACTTTTTTTTCAGTTAGTCTTGTAATTTAAGAGGTATCATTCAGTCAGTATAACTATCCATTTACAAAAGGTTACATTTTATTTCATATCATGCTATTATTTTAAGCAAACACTATTAGATCAAATTATAAACTACAATTTTCATTGAGATTCTGGTCAAAGTGATGACATAAGTAGGATTGAAAAAAACTCAAAAGAAAATTTAAAGTGTAAAAGGTGCAAAAATCAAGTTCAAAACCTATTGAAGTTTTTTTTTTTCTCCAACCCCGCACAAAAGTTATTTTCTAGAGCTATTTTCCCAGAAAAGTGGAAATCAAAAAAAGCTAAAATCAAGGATTTATGATCAATTTTGAGAAATTTTATGAAAAAAACCCCAGAATATCCATGAAAAAATAAGCAATTTTGCCACAAAAGGTCTAACAAGAAATGGTAATTGGTCTACTCAATTATGCATTAACAGACTCGTTCAACAAAGTAATTTGCAAGTGTCCTCTGAGTATTATTGGCTGCTAAGGCTCATCTACTCTATCAAGAACTGCCTCAGATAAAGGAAAAAAGATTTTCAATCTCCTAAGCTATTCTGAGATGCCACTTGCTTAGTTTTTTTTGACAGGAGTTTACACAGTACGCCTTGAGCGATATCTGTCTGAAACCTTCAGATTCAAGGTCAACATCGATTGAATCTCAACTCTGGGTTGCTTAAGATCCCCAAGGGTGTGGTGCCTGACCTCAGCCCTGAGAAGGAGTGGAAAGTCTTCACCATTTTACAGACAGACAGAGTCTGTCTGCCTGCTCCTGAGACTTCAGCTCTTATCCGTACCTTCCTCTTTCCCAAGGTTTATGTACCTGCTATATCCTACTGGCACTTTTACTGCTTCAGTGGCATCGCCAGCTGTAACGGGAACACAGCAACAATGATGATATCCTTCTCAATCTGATTTGTAGGGACTAAATCCAATTCTATTTAATTTGAAGATTTTATCTGAGCTTTTACTTGCTATCCAGAGACTCAAGGAGCTGAAAATGGTTTACCATTAATTATGAATATCTGTGAGAAACAGAAATCCAATGACAAATTGTGCTGCCAAACCCCCTTGATGCCTAGTACACATTGGTCATGCTTATTTTGTTCTCACAGAGTGGTTTGTCTGTCATACTGCTATCAGCTTCTTTTATGATCACTTTTGAGCTTATATTATTTTTGATTAGTTCATGTTTTAGATCATTAGTTCAACAAATAACCTGTAGCCCAGTGACAGATAATCTGTGTTGAGTGAGCATCATTCAACCAAATCCTGACAATTCCCCCTAATATAGTTTTTAATACTAATTTTAAACACTTTCAAGAATAAGTTAAATGAACATGAAAATTGTTCTCGGTTTCATATTTTGTATATCCATCATCTATTAGACACCCACTCTGAGCTCCATCACACTAATCAATCATTTTGTGCAAGTTATTATATTTGCATTACATAAAGAGATAAACACACTTTCATTTTTCAAGTGCTATTGTACCTGTTATTCTTTCTTGTATGCGCAGCCAATGACCATAGCAATAAGTTAATACCAATTTCTGTTTAAAAAATGACCTTTGAATGCCATTAATTTATTGATTTTTAAGTTACCATACAGTTCAGTGTTGCACAAACAGATTTTAAATCACCTACGGACCTATGCTTCTCCTGTAAAATCCTCCAATTTTCTGGGAAAAAATTGGATTTGGGGCACGTAAGTCTTAACAGAAAGACATTGTTTGGGTATTGCTCAAAAGTGCTAATGCAAAGAACCATGTCCTCCGTCAGCACAGATGGCCTATGGAGGAAAATCAGCTAATTATAACCCTGGAGAAATGGTTATCTTACTACAGAAGTTAAAAAAAATCCTAGCAGGTATGTAGAGACTTATAATTTTATGCTCTATAGTTTTTTCTCAAAACCGAGAGGAAAGAACAAAACATTGAGGTAGGGGGAAATATTCAAAGGCTGCCTTCCACTAAGGTCCATGCCCTGATTATAAATTCATAGAACAATTTAGAATAGAAAACACCTATAAGATCATTGGGTACCACCATTAACCTAACAACGCCAAGTCCACCACTAAACCCTGTCCCCAAGTGCCACATCACCACATCCTCTAAATGGTGTCTCTAAATGCCAAATCACCACATCCTTCCCACTTTCCTGGGAAGCCTGATGGTTGACAACCCTTTAGGTGAAAACATTTTTCCTAATATTCAATGTGAGGCCCCCCCCAGCACAAAGTGAGACCGTTTCCTCTTGTTCTATCACTTGTAACTTGGAAGAAGAGACCAACACCGACCTCACTACAACCTCCTTTCATGTAGTTGCATAGAATGAGAAGTTCACCCCTGAGCCTCCTTTTCTCCCAGATCCTTCAGCTGCTTCTCATAAGACTTGTGCTGCAGACCCTTCACCTGCTCTGTTGCCCTTCCCTGGACACGCTCCAGCACCTCAAAGTCTGTCTTGTCATGAGGGGTCCAAAACTGAACACAGGATTTGAGGTGTGGCCTAACTGGTGCCAAGTACAGGGGAGCAATCACTGCCCTGGTCCTGCTGGCCACACTATTTCTGATACAGACCAGGATGTCATCGGCCTTCTTAGCCACCTGGGCACAAGCTGGCTCATGTTCATCCAGCTGTTGATCAGCACTCCCAGGTCCTTTTCCTTTGGGCACCTTTACATCCACTCTTCCCCAGGCCTGGGGCATTGTCTGGGGTTGTTATGACCCAAGTGCAGGACCTGGCACTTGACCTTGTTGAATCTTATACAGTTGGCCTCAGCCATCAATTCAGCCAGTTCAGATCCTTGTCTAATCTGTACATACAGGTACCGTTTCTCTGGAATAGTGTTGTTTTTCCCATTTGAATTGCTCTGTGGAGATGGACGGAGGGGCCAGGGTTGAAGAGAGAATGCCATCTTCAAGTTACACAGAGAGCATCAGTGTCTACACAGAATATATATATATATATACACCCCCAAACAAAACATACAGAATAGATATATTAGATGCATGAATGTATGTTCCCACTCCCTGTGCTAGATGCTAGCTAGGACTGTGACCACTTTGAAAGGGCAATCAAAAATCAAAGGCAGAGACAGGCCAATAACTTCAGCTTACTAGGGATGCTCATGCAGCAAGGTACAGCAGAGAGGAGGCATGAGAGCTACTAGTTCTCAGTCACTTACTCTCTTTCTTTAGTTCTCAATTACTTACTTTCTCTCTTCTTACTGTCTTTCATATGAGACATGGTTATCTATTTTGACTGTGTGGGCAGGTTTAGGGTGTGCTTGCAAATTAGCTAAGGGCACACTTAGCATGTGTTAGTAGGACTCCATGAACAAATCTAGTATTGAAACTTCATTCACTCAACTGTTCAATGAGCCCTCAGTTCATGTCAAGATATTGGTGGTAAAGATGCAACTGACAGTAAGAGATCACTACTTTTCCATGCTTGCTATCATGGTAGGCCATTTCCAGAGCTGTGCCATAGTCCAGAGGATAAAATAATGGTTTGCAGGTCTAAGGTTGAGGTAATGTAGCACATAAATGCCCCACAGATCTCAGACACCACTTTGAGACCACCATGCCCAACAGACATGCACCGGAGCAGAGGGTCTTGATGATCTCAGAGATCTTTTCCAACCTAAATGATTCTATCCTCACAGCTGTATAGTTGCCACACTGTGATGAATAGTTTGGTGAAATAGCCTTGTTTTAAACACTAGAGAGAAGTTTCTGTATACCAAACTGTAGGCCCCCTTCCACTGACCATAAACAATTCAAACGGATGGGTGGATGGCTGGATAGAGAGCAAGTGATTCAATTCAAAGTGTGGTATGACACTTACATATATTAAAATGGGATGAATGGGGACAGTGAAATACTCTGGTGCTATTACTAGTCAGCTCGCACCTTTCGGAAAAGAAGAAAAATTCTCAGAGGCAAAGCAAAACCTCACAAAATTGAAAAAAGATATTTTGAGTTCATGACAGTCATTGTCTCCACACAATTTTATTTCATTTTCTTTCACATCTTCCTAATGCTGTTCGCTCATGCAAGTTAACACTGTAATTTCAAGAAAGTGGCATAATACGGAATTGAAGATTTTGAAAGTTTCATCTTAAGAACAGTATACTCACTGAACTTTGCCTAATTTGAAAGCTTGGCTTCTTAACAGCAGTTATTTCTCAGTCTTTCCTGAAAATGTATGAATTGTGCATAATTAGTGGATTCGTTTACATTTTGCTTGAATAATCTTTTTTCTTAAATTCCTGTACAGTGAATTTACTGGCTTTTTAGTGCTAAAAGACCAAATATCTGCCTTTCTTCCCAATTTCTTTTCATTGTTTTTAACAATCACTGACAGTGGAAGACAAACCATTAGAGATGGTAAATCACCCTGTGAAGCATGTTTAGTTTAAGATGTATTTCTCTTGCAAGAAGAAGGAAGACACAGAGAAAAATATCTTCTGAGAGACCCTTGAAGAAGGAAACAAAAAATTCGGTTGTAAATCATCAAAGGCAAGTACATTTTTTTGAAAACGCCATGGGAGAAGTAATATGTACATGCAAAAATTTCTTGTTGAACCCCAAGCTCAACAGCATTCTCTGCTTCTGCTCAAAAAGATGACAAGGGCACGCCACAGATTCACACATCGTTACAAAGTGGATGTGCTCAGGCAAAACACTTTCTTTTTCAGAGTGGAGGAAATCTGTTGTGTGTGTCAGATATTGAATGCTCAAGGGATACCAGTCATGATATCCATTATTATCAGCCAATAAATCCTCTTGTTACTCCTCAGGGAATTTCAGCAAAAGGATGGATGGAGAACTATTTCTGACAGAGGGAATGCCTCAATGAAATGAATAAATGCTTGAATTACCAACCTCCTGGCCATTGCACCATATGGGAGAAAATAGTTGTCTAATTTAGCCATATGTTACATAAATTAAGTCAATGATCACAGGTTAAATATCAAATTATATATATATATATATATATGTAATATTTAGCAACACTCAGACTAAGACAAACTGGTAAAAAATAAATAGTCATAATGTCCAAGTATATGAAACAAAATGACTACATTTATATTTAGGCATCTAATGATAGAACTTTTGCAGAAATGGCGTAATGTGTTCTGCTCCCACTGCCAGAATCTGGCTGGAGAGCAGAGCACAGAGCAAATTCAACATATTATATCAACTAGAAATGTATTAGGTAATCTCTCAAACTGTTTTCTGCCTTGTGCTTTAATTCGATACCTAAACATCCCTGTCCATATTGAATATTTTCAAAGTTTCTATTGCATGTCAAGAAATTCAGCTTTTCCTTGAGAAGTCAAGGGCAGCGATAGTTTCTGCTTTAAAAAAAAAGAGACAAGTGATGCTTGGCGAATGCTAGGAACAAGACCCTTTCCAAAGAAAAACGAACTGATAACCTAGCAAGTATGACTCTTTATTTTGCAGAAAACACTAAAGCAACTTTTCTTTTTTATCAGGTCCTGATACAAGAGCTGCAAAATGCTGCACATCTGATCTTGCTTTAAGTCACATGTAGATTTAAAAATTACTTCATAATATTTTATGTTACCAAGTAGCATACAGTAAGGTAACTCAAATCCGTATCTTCAAACTGATTCTGATCTCACACTGACTTTGTATCAGTAGAGCATGGCTGGTATCAATTGTATTACTTTGCTGATTTATACTGATACCAATTCAATCAGGAAGACTCATGATAAGTAGATTGTGAATGATTGGATATCATGTGCTCTCCCTCTTGCTTTTGGCTAGAGGTACTAAATCAATTTTCTAAAGTGCCATATATCTTTATAACTGTGGATTTTTGTCTCCATTAGCTCCAATTATTCTTGTTTCCCTGCCTGTCATTTTTCATGAATGCTTCACAAACATTATTGCAGTGGCAAAATATCATTGCCCTTTCTTGACTTCAAAATTAGTGTAAATGTTTGTGGCATTGTTAGATGGTAATACTGGGATGAAATCTTAATGTTAACATAGGCAGGGAGATATTGCACCAGGCAGGTAATCGCAGGCTGAAGTTAGAGTTCAGAACATGTCTGAACAGAGCATGTCCAGAACACTTAGGGAAGTGTTTTCTCATCCCTGGGCCCATCAAAATTGAAAGCTGTTGGGAGGTTTACTGGATTCATGGACAAGAAATAAATTAATAAAAATACCAAGAGTTACTTGTTGTCTTCATATTTGACTGAAAAAAAAGTGACAGAAAGTAGGCCAAGGTGAAGAATAAGAGTCTTTGGATAAAATTATCGAAGAGACATACTTGCTGGCTGTCACTCAAGCAGAAGTGGTCTAGTCAGGCACATGGCACTGATACTGAGACCATGGCTTTGTGCTGAGCAGCAGAGCCAGGAGAGACTTGTTTGACCCCGGGGCAGTTGTTCAGTAGTGTTTAGCTGGTCTGGTTACTCCTGAAAGCTGCAGTGAGTGGTAACTCTCATGTGGGCCAGGAGCTACTGCTAGACAGACACCCATACTCTCAGGTGTAAGACAGACATTCTGGTTTGTTTGGAGAAAGCAGAATGGTGAGGCTAAACTGGCAGGAGAGCTAAATTTCTGCTGTTTGAAGACTCTAAAATTCATAAACTATGCAACAGAAATAAAACCAAATACTACATAGAAGTGCTTAAAAAATAGGGAGGAAAAACCACTTTACACTTATGACATTGAAGCAGACAGGGATCCCATTCTCTAATAAGGTGTTCACATCTATGAGCTGACCTTGAACTCAGTGCACCCCCTCACAAAAACACCCATTGACTTCAGTTCCCCATCTGGGTTGTAGCAATGAATAATTCCCCCTCTTTTCCTTGGTGCCATGTGCCAGCCAAAGGAGCATAAAGAGAATAAATACATGAACGTTCAGGTGTACAAAAGAGAATAGAAATTTTATTATCATAGAAGCAGCCATAGCTTCACAAAAGCATAGCAGCAAAAGTCCTCTGATGAATCCCTGAGAGTCTGCTGCCAAATTCTTGTGTATGTTCAATAGTTGCAGCAGGATTTCTAGACTCATACCAAGTGAGATCATCTGGCACAGGTACCATTTCTGCCCATGCCTGTTTAATGATGATACCCAGGCCCTTCAGCCTGTTATGCTTAAATATTTGTGTCTCATCACTACAAAGAGGAACAAGCACAAACAAATGAAAGATTCATGCAGGAACCCTGAACAGCTGCAGGGTATTGTCCCTGGTATAAATGACATTTCTGGTGATTCCACTTGCAGCAGTTTTTATTTTTGATATAAAGGATATACCTGACACCCAGAATCTATTTTAACAGAGGGAGGAGCATTATCACCATGTTTCCCTCAGGGGCATCACTTTATCACCACACAGAAAACAATGTTTCTTGTGTCAGGTCTGAGGCCATTGTATGAAATGCTTGGAGCAACAGAATTTGAGATATGAAAAAGGCTCCCCCAAGTGCAAGGAGCCTGCATGATGAATTGCAGAGATGGGGGGTGTTGGTTAAATCTACAATGTCTGGCAGACCTGCCTATGCCTGGTCAGCCCCTCGGGCCTACTACTCAGTGGGCTCTGCACAACCCATTGCCTTAACACGTGGGATGAGCAGATCTCTGCTGTGGGACAGGTATGCACCTGTCTCATACAGACCTGGCCAAGACCTTTGTGGGCATAACAAATTATAAGCCAAAACTTTTTTTTGGTAACATTGCCTCTGCAGATTTCCCATTCTAATGGAGATGGTGAGACTTGCTGCAGTTGGATAAAACCTCAGAAAATAGACCTCAGAGCTGCAGTTCCCTCAAGATCCATGTAACATAGCAGACTCTGGGAATATGTCCCCTTTCTCCACACGAAAGGAGCTAGTTAATACAGCTCCTGGCATTTGTCAGAATTTACGAGGGTGGTGTTTTCTTTTGCAGTTGAACCAAAACTGTACCTGTAATTTACTTATCTGTCTCAGAATGGGTCTTGATAGGCAGGAAAGAAGAAAGGCCTCTAGGTAGTTCAGATGGACAGCAATAAGGAAAGGATAATTCTAATAAACATCTTCTTTTGGTAAACAAGATATCATTTCCAGCTCTTTTGTAATTCAGAAAACCCCCATATTGGAGACTTTGAGCTCAGGTAAGTATCTTGCACTTACACATTTTCAGTATACAGATAAAGCACTTCAGCTGAAAAACAGGGCATTTGAGAAATCAGAAATGCAACAGAAATGCCAGAGGGTTTAATGTCAGACTCTTTAATGTCTCTGCAAAAGCAGGAAAAGAACTACTACCTAATTTCTATACTATTTGTTTTAATTCAAACACAAATAAAACCCATTGATTTGTGGTTCAGGTAGTCCACTTGTTCTTCCTTAAAGCAGCCACTTTAGTTAACAGATTTATAAAAAAGTCTAATCATTACAACTTTCTGAAACCTTGCAGCTTTTGATTTAGTAGTAATCTTAGCTGTGCAATAGGAAGTATATTCTATCTGTAGTTAATGACCTTAGGTTCCTGTTGTGATAAAAAACTACAGAAAAAATTCAATGCCACCCATTCACCCCTAATATTTACACAAATCGCCTTTGCCTAGAAAGGAAATGCTCTTTTATTTTGTTTTGTGCCTCTCTAACTTCTTCAGGAAATGAGGAGTACTGCCTTTTCTGGCAGCACCAATTAAATAAGCAGGTTTGTGGAAAATTACACAGCATCCTACATTTTTAATCCATTTGCATGAAACTATAGTCCTGTGGTGATCCCCAGCATGGGTCTGCTGTTTTGTAAGAGCAGAAAGTGGCAGAGCTGATCTGCTAGAGGCACTATATATGATAATTGCATACAGGTTAAGTGTTTTGCAAATTAGCAGTGCTTCATCATCCACTTTCTCTTTACTGCCTGTTCAGGTTGGCATACAGAGTGTGCTGAAGGTGACTTGTCTAATCTGCAGCAGCTGGAACATCCTGTCATCCCCACAAAATCATTTTCTCTCATTTTCAAATGAAGCTTATGGAGATGGCTATTCTGTCAGAAGTGACACACGGCACCATGGATTTTGTCAAGGAGCAACTTAATTTCTGCTGATGTGTTTCTTATGTAATAAGATGCCAAGGAAGTCATGTTTCCTGCCTGTCAGCAGTCAGTGCATAGCAATGAGTGGTCCTCTTTTTCACCCATGGAAAACAGAGCATGCAGGTGCAAGGACAAAATAGCAAGTTGTTATTCTGTCCCTCCCTGCCTCCTGTTTGGCTATGGATTCATGCAAGAATTTAAGTCTTTCGAGTGCTACCTCTGCCCCGAATGGCAGGGGTAATTGTAAGTGGATCCTAAATTCATGATGGCATTTAGGCATGAGGCTTCATGTAGGTGCCACAGACATTCCACTTTCCTCAAGGCTCCTCAATTGCTTTACCTTCAGGTAGCTAAAACTCTTGGTGCCATTTGTACTCCCAGTAACAACCTCTATTTCTCTGTATTTCTGATGTCGAGGTGGGTAGACCATGGGAGACCTGACCACACAGGGAGGTTCAGGCACCAAAATCAGGTTTAAAGCCCAAAAGCATTTCACGAGTGTTTCTCTGCATCTCCTGGGCCCAGACCCAGGCGTGGTGGCCATCCTCTGAATGAGCTCAGCCTAGCAAGAGAGGAGGGCATGGGAAAAACATGTCAGTACTTTGCACAGACTGACCCATCCTTTGAGGTGGAGCTAAGGATGAATTATCTTCCCAGTCAGCTGTGGATTGGGCCCAGAGAACTTGTGGATGCCTCATCCTTGGAATTGTTAAAGGGATGGAAGGGGCTTGGAGCAACCTGGTCTAGTGGAAGATGTCCCTTACCACGGCAGGAGGCTTGAAACTAGATGGTCTTTAAGGTTCCAACCCAAACCATTCTATGATATATGATCTCTGTGGAGAGCATCCAGCTACGAGGCCAATGTGTTCCTACAGAAGCAGCTAAATGCATCAGTGCAGGGCTACACATCCATCCCAACAAACACAATCACTTGGCATACTCAAGTTTCCCAGTGACCAGACTTATTTTTGTAAATTTATCTTACTCTTAGTAGATGCCTGCATGACAATTTCCTGGGAAATTCATTCATTGCTTGCTGGATGAAGTGTTTCTTCTTTTTTTTGTTTTTTTTTTTTTCCATTTCAAAATTAAAATAGCAAGTCTCTTTATACATGCTCAAAATTGAATACCAAAAGAATACAGAGTGTATAGGACTGAAAAATATTGGGCACATTCTAAGTATGCCATCACTAAACTGCAGGATAAAGGATCCTGATCAAGGAAGTGCTGCTTGTTGATGTCAGGAGGATATCCATCCACCAGCTCTGTACCCTGGTTTCTGTAATTGAAACATGGTCACCTGAGCCAAAGGGAAGTTCCAGCATGAGCAGGCCCTAGGCTGGACAAGCAAAACCTAGTATATGGCACTGTTTACTTCTGCCCTACAAATCAGATATCATCTAGAGAGTGTCTTCTTTTCCAATAGGTGATTTACTAGTTCTTTGCACTTCTAATATCTGGATATAATTTTATACTTTTCCTAATTTACTTTTTTTCTTTTAGAGTGAAAAAATGAAAGGACAATTGCCCAAGAATACCTAAGAAAACCTAGCATTAATTCCTAAAATAGAAATTAACAGCCAAGTGTTTGAGTTTTATTGATTACAGGTGAGGTATTTTAGAGTACTTTAATTTTAATTTTGCTCCTATTTATCTGGATACTATAACTAGAAATTTCAAAAGTCTTTGGCACTTCTACTTGAGGTCAAAATTTCAAAATCATGCAGTGTCAGGTTACAGGAAAGTGCAGATGATCCACTTCCCCACGGGTTACTAAGTGATCAAACAGCTGTCAGAACACTTGTTTCTTACAGCACTAGCTCTGTGATATTGAATAATTTGCATTTTTAGCTAATTGGTTGCTCCCCCTGGAAAGGAGTCATAGCAGAGATTTTGAAGGATGTTTCCTGTTGGTATGCTCTTTTTGCTAGTATTGCAACTTTCCAGCTCTGTTATACCTGTCTCCACCCCCAGGTCTTTTGTCCTTGCAGAATTATGTGAAGGTCAAGTAATAGTGAAGATACAGAGAGAAATTCAGGCTCTTATTCAAAGCAATTGATAAGTACAAACCTAAAGATGTAGACTCCAGGGGCTCCTAATGCTCAATGGCTTCAGAAAAATGAATGGCTTTCTTCTTCTACTTTTCCATGGTCTGGTAAGAATGATGTGCCCTCAATGAGCTGGAAAAGGTAATACACAAACACAGGCATTATAGGTTTGTCTGTCAAACCTTTTCCTTCTTCCTTCTGGGGAGCAACACTGACTTAGCAGAGGAAATTCTGTGCTAAAGAAGATCCCCTCCACCAGGTTGATTTTTGGCTATCCACAAGAAGGTATAGCCCACGTGGCAGGCTGGTGCTGATCAGCTGCACTTAAGTGAGTGCAGATTCATCTAATTTGGGTGCTATTAACAGGCACATATTTGCAACGAGAGCCCCGACTGCTGGGGCTGCCGAAAAAGCAGTGCACAACCTGTACCCAGCTGACAGATGCCAAGTTAGCACTGATGGTTGCACTGCACTGTATAACACATCTGCACAAATTCTTGCCCTTGGAGTGATCACTGATGAATAGACTTCAGACACAGTGATAGACTGACTCAAAGAATATTGCTGTCTCTGCTGGATTTGTTCTGTCATTGAAGGCAGAGGGATTGTATTTTTTTTCTCTGTGCTGTTAGTGCAGCACCTTTAATTAGAACAAAAAAAAAAAAAAATTTTGAGATACAAAATGAAAAGGGGAAAAAAAAAAGGTAATCTCTATTCCAGTAATGGGATCTCAGTTCTCTCTATAAGATTTGAGTCAGTCACTTTCTCTTAGAGGAACCCTGTATTCTTAGTTCCTTTTCCCTCCCCCCCCCCTTTTTTTTCTGTAAAGGTAGATTTTTGAATATGAGGCACATTATTTTAAAGTTTCCTCAGAAGACACAGGTTAATTCTACAATAGTTTCAGCTGATGTTTGGCAGCTCCCTTGTCTTTCCTCTTGCTGGCTTTGAGTCACCATTTCTTGCAGCTACTGTAACTGTTTACTGCTTTTAGTACAGCAGGATCCCACTCCCTTTTTCATCCTTCCACTTGCATTGTCATATATAGAAATCTGTGTGTAGACTGGAAATCTGAAATCTGTATGTCAATTGGCAGCAGTAACTATGACTTTCTTAAAATAAGGCTGTAATAACAAGCTGAGCTTGTTGCAAGAGCTACACCTCCTCATGATTCCACTGGATGCCCTTTTGGGTAACCAACTTAGCCTCTGCCCCAGTGTTGTGTTATGGTTACTTCCTCCACCCCTATGGACCCTATGGACTGGCTTCACCAACCACTCAATAGTTCTCTTCTAGGTGAAAAAAGAATTTGGCAATTGACTCTAAGGATTGTTGCCCTGTGCCCACAGGTGATGTTAAGTAGAGTCTGGCAGGTCTTTGGGGGGTGGCCTGCCTGGCTTTTGTCTGCCCTCTACATTATGTATGATGTTGTGTTGCGACGGGGTGTCCACAGGTACCATAGGCTGCAAAAGACTGGATAAAGAAATGGATTTTGCAGGAATGGACTTATAAACTGGCAATATGTTGGACTGAAACTATGTCATCCTTCCTCTGGGAGTGGTCGACTGCTTTACTCCCTGACTTACAGGGAGCAGTCTCCTTTCTCTTCACCCTCCACCAGAGGGTCCTCATTGCTGCTGGGTGGCAGAGTCATGCTCCAATTGGGAAGGTCCTGGACAGGAATCCAATGTCACCATGTTGCGGTGAGGGGACAGGAAGAATCCTGGGGCTGCTGGAATGTCCAAAGACCTGAGGGAAGAATGTGGATGGGCTCTTCTTGGAGAGCTCTATTCACGCCAGTAGACACTGGCCATGCAATTGCAAGATCCATGGACTACTGTATGACTTGCTTTGACTGTAAATAAACTATATTTGGGAAGGAGGCCCATGTGAAGGGGGCCCATGTAAAAACGATTGCACACAGGATGTAGAAAGGGAATCATATAGTCATCATTTCAACTTGCCAACATTCATCTAACCTGGAAAAGGACCCTGTCTGTAAACCAGATGTGTTCAATATCAAATAACTAGGATACTAAAAGTGACAGAGCTGCAACAAAAACTTAGTTGAGATACTCGAATAGACCTACAGAGGTGAGCAAAATCTTATTTATCTCACCAGCCTTCTCTGGGGCTTTATGTGAATCACTCACTGAAAGACCATTTGGGCTGAGGAGGTCTGGTTTGGGTACAGAACAGCACTTTGAGGTGACTCTCCTGACTTCTGAAATCCACCTCCATCCTTCCACAGGTCTCCACACCACAGCTGTGCTGAGAATTATCTCTGTGCACTGGTAGGAAAATCCATACAGTGGCCCTTTAATCTGACATTTTCCTGGACCTTTAGAGAGTACTTCAGTGAGATAATGCAAGATGTGTGTTCTCTCTAGGTGTCTGAGGTAATAGAAAGAGATTATGTTAAGTGCTTAGTAAGAGGCATTTTCCATTTGCAACATTCAACTTTATTTAGCTGTAATGCATGAAAAAATTGACCCACATGGGTCTTAATCTAGCAATTTAATTGTATCTCTGAAGTGTCAATGTGATGAGCATCATGTATTTTGGCACTGTTGACATTTCTTTTAAGCAGATGACAGTTTGAAAGGATGGTAGAATGTCCTTTTATCGCTGCAATAGATAAATATGTTACTGAGTGATGGAAACAGCTTTACACACTAGCAAGTGACAGAAAAGAAAGTTGTGGGAGAAAAGGCACGACAAATTTAAATAAACAATGAAGCACAAAACATACAACTGTTTTTCAAGCCTCTCTGATGAATTCATAATAATTGGTGAATAATTGGTGCAGTTGACCAAAAATTGTCAGTGAGAAAATTACAAGACTCTTAAAGCTTCCACAGAAACGTCTTTAAAACAGTAGATCTTGGATGTGTACAGTGGCGAAGCTGAAGGGAGAGAAGGACCTTTGGTATAGCACAAGAGTGGCTCTGACAGCGCAGACCCTGATGTTCCAAATCATGTCCCCTCCCACACCAATTTTTTAATAAAGCGTTTTGTTTGTTGGCCTGAGTGCCTCAGGCAACCAAGTATAGTGCTTTTTGAGAGAGCAAAACCTAGGAATTTTCTAGAAAAAGACTTTTTTTCATGGCCAGAAAAATATTTTCCAAAAGTGGGCTGTGGTAGAAGCAAACAGGAAAGAAAGGGTGAGGAAAAGCTCTGGATGAGGATCACCAGGACTGTAGAAAACATGAAACCTGTGATTTTAAGGGGCTTCGGTTGCTGTGGGAAATTGCCAAAGGAACATTTTTCTGAAAATCTTTAAGATTTTCAGCAACATATTGTGACATTGACAATATGTTTTCTCATGCCCCCAAATTATCTGAATAGCTAGCACCTAGTGAGAAATGCAGTTGAGACTGTAAAGCGTGGAAGACACAGGCAGCTATTGAGTCACCTGAAATCAGGCAGCTGAATTTCCATATTTATCAATCTAGACAAGCAAAATACTCTGTCAGCTCAGGAAGATCTTTGGACTGAGAATCCATTGTAACCTTTCATATCTCAGGTTCTGTAATTGGTGATTGTTTCCTCATTGTCTACTTTCAAGGTGTGAAAAATAGAGTTTGAATGCACATAATGCTAATTCAATCACATGCAAGCACCTGTCTAGCACATATGTATGTTAGCTTAACACTGGCTATCAACCTGCTGTCAGATGACTTGGCAGAGTGAGAAAATCCATTACCAATGGAGCAATAGGTTTCCAAAAAGCATTAAAATGGGACCCTAGAAACAGTAAATGTGAAAAAACTACTGTCTGCATCTGAGAGCTTTTGTGGTTTTTTATAGGAAATTTGATGGAGGAAGTGATAAATCTAAGGACACAATTATTGCAAATGTAGAATCATTTCCTCACCCATTTTACAAATATTTTTTCCCCCTACCCCCTACAAAAGAAAGCTGCTAATACTTCCTTTGGAGAGAGAAAGAGGAATGCAAACAGCATTAATCTATCAGATATGTAATGGGAGGGGATCTTTCTCCTCTCTTGCCACAAATAATGAATCATAGAAGTTTTATGGAACCTAATTATGTCACTGAGGAAACACTGAGATGATGATATGAATGTTTTCTTCAATCTAACATGATTTTTGTGAAACCATAATTTTATTTGAAAAGTACTGCAGAACTCAACTCTGGTCTATTTTTAAAATTATAGATTAAACAGAAAATTTGTAATTAAATATTATTCTGGTTGCTTTGCCATAAAAAGACAAAAGGCCAAATGTCAATTTGAAATGAAACTCATATGGAAGCTGAGCAAACAATAACGGGATGTATCACTAAGCAAATTATAGCAGTGTGAGATATCCTGATTATCTTTGATTTATTGTTGTTAAACCACTAGGCAAATACAACTCTCAGTCATACTGTGTTTCACAAAAACACTTTTGGAGAACTTGAGGCAATAAAAGCATGGAGGTTTATGCTCAGTATGTATCCATGAAGACTTAATGGCTGTTTAATAGAGATTTGAAGTAGCTGCAAAAAGGGCCTCAGCATTGTGATACTCAGACACTTGCAAAGCCTTAAACTTACTGTACTACAGACCGGGAGTGGGTGATGCTGTGCCAGCCTATATAAGTTTGTGCTTCCTACCTGCTAAGTGCTCAGAGTTAAGAAGCTTCTCATGACAACTACAAGACCCAGCTTACCAAGCGAGGAGATACTTAAACCAGTCCAAAGAGAAAACTGAGAGGAGGGTACTGCTGGAAATTTTGAGACCGACTTTCAAACGTGGGCATTGTCTTCAGAACCATCTCAAGCTAACATGTGCAGACAGGCTCAGGACCACCACTGCACCACAGGCTGGAGATACTCCTGACTCTGCTCAGCTGGGACTGAACGCAAGAAATTGTCTCTTTCACGCAGTTCCTAATCATGTAAGAACAGACCTGCTCTGTTTTCTTGATCCTCTGCAGCATAGCTTCCATCCTTAACTTTTTCACCTTAGGAGGAAGGAGTGGTCCTTTCTTTTCACCATCAGAGCATTTCTGTAGCAGTAGCAAATTAGATACCGCAAGCGTAGGTTTCAATTCTTTTCAGAGCCAGGATAAATAAGATTTTTTTTTAACACCTGCTTTCTAAGACAATGCACTTGCAGCAAACCTATC